TAAAAATAATAAAACTATCGTTGAAGAAAAAGGAAAACCTTATTTTTTTATCATTTCACGCACCTAATTTTGACTTAATTTTTCGTTTTTTTTTTTCATTTTTACTGCTCTATTTAAAATGGTGCATTCATTTAAACTACGCGCATTGCGCGGTAATCATGACACGTGAAGCTTCTGCAAATGGCTGCTCGAGGTAAACGTATGTCATCAAAGCCAGAAGTCGAGCTTACATTGTCCATAACTCCTAAACGGTAATAGGGTGCAAAAATTTAATGATATTTTTTAAATAACGAGGCAATTTCACACCAAAATGAGACATTTTCATTACCTTTGGCTTTTGGTGGTTATAGTGTAAATTAAGTAGATTTTCTGTGTGTTTTCTCTTTTGTATTACATATCCTTTGTAACAGTCCTGGAAAAATATAAAATAAAAAAGGAAAATTCAGAGAGAAAATATAAATGAACTTATAAAATGGTTCACGGGAAAATTATTTTGCTTTTATTAAATTCTGGCTTTAAATTTAAATACTGCAAACTAACCGCAAAAACAAATTTTAAGACAATAATTACGTTATTTTATTGTAAATTGTCTATCTATTAAAATGTTTAACAAAATCGGAGAGACAGTTATTAAGTTTTGAAAGAAATAAAAAAAAATTGAAACAAAAATCAAATAATTTAAATTCGTAAACTGTTGTGTAGGAACCTACCACCCCTCTTGAAGATGAACTCGTCTACAAACAAGGACGTTAAATAGTGGCATGTCAAAAGACAGTGTCGGAGAAGTTCTGGGCTGAGTTAGTTATAGACTACTCAGGCGATTTCTGTACCAACTTACCAACCGAATAAACCCCATTTTATTGTTACATGTTATTTGGCGTTTGTCTTTATTAACCCCAAATTAACATCATAACATAAACAATATTTGTTCTATTTAATTTTTTTTCTAATAGTTGAATTATTATTTAAACTATAAGGTTAGAGGTTTTAAATTTTTTTAATAAATAATTAATGTAATTTTTTGATATTGCTAACTGGTGTTGTGAATTTATATATATATATATATATATATATATATATATATATATATGAAAAATTTCTCAGAGTTAACCTGTAAGAAAATCCTCGAGAGTGTCGCCATTGAATATTACCCAAATATTAATCTACACCCAGGCTTTTTCCCTGTTTCACCTTTCTTAACAGAATTATTTCTCACCCAAACACACTTAGAGAACAGTATCAAGAAATGTTATTGGCCCTCTTTCGATGGCGTTCCTTGTGAGGATTGGCGCGATGGCGTCTCGATTAAGGGACGAGCCTCGCGAAACGGAGTGGTTCTTGCTGTGGATCTCACTGGCGATGGTTCGAGGTAATGCTTTCGCCATCATTGCGGCCGGCAGAGGATAGCAAAAAAAATATTTAAAGTTACTTGTTCAAACTTTTTTTTCGACAGTGGTTGAATCCGTCAATACAGCAATAAAAACAATATCTTTACACGTGACAGTAAATGACGTAATTTTCAGTTAACAGTATGAAAATAGCGTTCTCAAAATTCTTCCAGTTGCTAAGGCCATTTTGTTTTGTTATTATTAGTTACTTTGTTTTAATAAATTCATTTCGTTTTGCCTTGAGAAAGTGCATATCGGACGAAACGCGTCGGCAACTATTACAGTTTTCCTATTGTCTTTTATATATATATATATATATATATATATATATATATATATATATATATATATATCGCTAATTAAGATGATATAAAGGATCATTATTATGTTGGCATCAATGTTAATCTTTTATTAAAGGTTGTGACCCTCTAGGAAAGCATTCCTCAGTTCAATGCATCCGGGCACTCTAATTTGTGTATTTAGGCAGCAATCTTTATTTCATGCGCATTTCATTGAATACGACAGAAAAAATGCTTTGATTTAGTTTTTTATACAATTTATCATGTGATCTAATACTTTTTTCTTTTCAGATGATAAATTATATAAAAACTCTCCGAATTTTCTTTTTATCCGAGCGCTTTCGGCTATATATTTGGCAATTTTCAAGGTTGAAATATATTAACTGTTAAGAAGAAATAGTTTTTTGCATATATGTATTTATATAATGGTTTCATTTTCAAAACACGGTCATGATATTGTGTCCATAGTTTATATTATTAAATGTTGTATATTTTTGTTTATTGTGTATATTTAGCATTATTGTTTATTGTGTATATTTAGCATTTCTTCATTCATACATGTTTCATTAAATAATATAGACGTAATACTTCTCCAATTCACTCTCGCGTGGTCATGTGTGACGTCATGAGCTGCGGTGCGATTTTCGCTTCTAGCGTCTTATATACACGTGTTTATCGTTACTTGGAAATCATCCACGTAAATAGAAACAAATTCTCATCACATTCTTGTCCGTGTATTGCTTAATATATTGTACAGTAATTGTCATCTTTGATAATGCTTATGAAAGCCGAAAGCTTAGATTGGATTAAAAAAATATGGATCAATATTGTGATTTTCTTTCTTCGTTTAATGATACTATTATTAAGCTTATCAGACGTTATGAAAAGAGTTTACATAAAATGAATAGACAACACTTGTCTATATTATTTAATGAAACACACACACACACACACACACACATATATATATATATATATATATATATATATATATATATATATATATATATATATATATATATATTGCTAATTAACCGATAATATAAATAATGATTATTATGTTGGAATCAATGTTATTCTTTTTTTTAAATGTTGTGTCCCTCTCGGAAACCATTCCTCAACCAATGCATCCGGACACACTAATGCTGTATGAAATATACCCAGCAGCATCGTAAGTGAATAGAAGGGTAATTTTGAAATTATGTTTATATTTTTTTAAAAATATATCTTTAATTTTTAAAAAGCTAAAGACACCAAACACTTGGATTCCATATCTAAGTCAATTACCATTTCAATCTATGATGTCGGCTCATCGTTAATAGAAGACGAGGGTCTGGTCACTAGATCGTGGCTTACAAATCAAACCTAAAGAGTTGTTCATTGATCAGTTTTGGATTTCCATTGAACAAGAAGATCTTTCTATATCTACTAAAGCAATGAATATTTTATTGCAATTTTCAACATCATACCACTTTCAAGTAGGATTTTCTGCACCAATTCAGATGAACACGACGAGATGCCTTCACAGATTCTAATTTCTACCATGTGCTAAATATAAGAAGAATGTTCTAATCAAAGAATATTTTATTTCCAAGAACTGCTACTTCGTGCATCAAACTCCAGTGGAGTTGCTTCTACGATAGCTACAATCTTAATCCTACATAATATCACACAGCCTTGATAGATTTTAAATCATTTTCGAGATCTAGTGATGGGTGATTAATCCTCCATTTTACAACATATTTCCCGCGAATGCAACAAGGCGAGCTTCTTGTAACTCATTTCAGACCTTTATAGCTAACTCTGTGTCGCTATTTCCATTGCAAATGTTCAGATGAGCTCCTTTCTTTAGTTCCACTAGTTCGGATCTTCACAGCTAGGCCTTTCTCTACTCTATCGCTATTTCCATGGAAAATGTTCAGACGCACTCCATACGTTAGTTCGCCTTGTTCAGACATTTACAGCTCACCCTCTATCTACTCTATTGCTATTTCCATGGCAAATGTTCAGACGAGCTCCATTCTTCAGTTGCATCAGTTCAGACCTTGATACATCCAAGGATTCAAATTATACCGGTTTTCTAAATATTAGAAGTAAATTCTACTCCGTTTATTTCCAAAAGATGAGACTTTACAGATCAGACTCCCACGTGGTTGCTTCCCCGATAGCCGCAATCGTAATTTTACATTATATCACACAGCCTTGATAGATTGTGAGCGTTGATTTTTACTCCATTTTATAACCTTTTCCCACGGACGTAACAAAGCAATCGTTATCGTTACTTCAACGGCTATTGTTGAGGTGAGTTCTATATTCCAGATATTAGGAGAAAATTCATCTCAGATATCATTTATTTCCAAGAGCTGTTACTTTGTGGGAAAGACTCCCACGTGGTTGTTCCCTCGATCGATACAATTTTAACCACTTCAAGTCACGTGTCAATCGTCATCTATAAACCTTATCCTCATAATCCTTATTTCCTAAAAACTACTCATTCATTCTTGTAACATACCTCCTTTATCATCACCAATTTAACATGTATCCCTCTATATTGAGTGTCTCTCGAGGATTGCATTTTCTGATTGTTCCTTTTAAAATATGATACATGAATACATATGGGAAAAATAAGCCGATATATTTTGATTCTCCAAAATAAAGTGTTTGTAAAATTTTAACCTTAGTATAAGAAAGTTTTTTCCTGGTCAACGAGAATTAGAAAAAGCAACGATTTTTTTAACATTTAGACTTCCATACATTCAAATTGTAGACGTTAGTTTTCCTGTCAGTTAACGATGAAAAACCCTGAAACTCTTTGCAAGTTACCACTCTAAAAAAAACCTTCGTCATCTAGAAAAAATGTGATATTTACACAAGCAAATAATACGTGACATTAGAAATTGTGTTAAGTTTAGAATTATTCAACACTTTACAGCCACGGCACCTCTCCAATCAGCAGTTTGATCAAAAAGGTGGACAATTACTTTTGCAGATCTTCAAGTTAAATCAATTAGTTCGCCATTTTGCATTGCTGATGTCTGAAGAAAGACAACAGGGACAGTAATTGTTATTACAGCTCTGTGTATTTTGTTACCAGGTCGGACATGATGCATGCCGATTGAATAATATTGTTCAGTTCTCCTTGGACTGAGCATCAATTATTTGCAGGCGACTAGTAAGTAATTTGTTTGTTTGTGACTCAGAACGGATCACATAAAAGCAGAGAGCAGAAGCACTTCGTCCTCAGAAGACGCTCCAAGTCGATTGAATCGCAACATCTGGAACGCTCAGAACACCCGGAATTTAAAACCTCACCATGCCTAACTACACTCTGTACTACTTCAATGGCCGCGGACGTGCCGAGATCTGTCGTATGTTGATGGCCGCTGCCGGCGTCCCATACACCGACAAAAGGTTCGAATTCAACGAATGGGACAAATACAGGAATGGTAAGATATTTCTTTACTTTTTGTTTAATACATTGTTTGCAAAATTTATTTAAACCCCAAATGGCTAACTATTTAAGGTTACAAAATTTCGGCTTCAGTTTAGGATGCCTAATAAAACCAATTTATTGGGTTATTAAAACGGAAATTGTGACAAAATTCACTTGAAGCAGACGAGATTTAATTCATGCATAAGACTTCAGAGTTCAATCGATGTTAGGAGTAATAGTGTGGAAATAGACTTTAGAAGGAACAAGAAACCTAATCGTAAACAGGAAACAAGGGATAAACCTCTACTCCTGTTCAAAAGACTGGGGAGAAGCGTGAACTAATGGATGGCCTAACGTTTATCGCTGGGACAACTGGAATCGTCGATCAGAGTTCGATTCCTTGCCTAATCTGTAGAGTTCACGTTCGAAAAAGATCCCCTGGAAACGGCGGAAACTTCACCCCCAAGTTATGGGTTAAATATTAGGGTAGACTAGGCTCTCTAGATTTGAGAAGCAACTATTCTAAGAGAAGGACAACACGGAATTTAAAACCTCACCATGCATATCTACAATCTGTACTACTTCAATGGCCGCGGACATGCCGAGATCTGTCGTATATTGATGGCCTCTGCCGACATCATATACACCGACAAAAGGTACGAATTCAACGAATGAGACAAATACAGGAATGGAAAGATGCCTCTTTATTTTTTGTTTAATATAGTGTTTGGAAAATTTCGTTCAACCCCAAATGGCTAACTATTTAAGATTAGAAAATTCTGGGTTCAGGTTAGGATGACTAATAAAACCAATTGATTAGGACATTAAAACGGAAATTGTAACAAACATCATTTCTCATGTGAGGAGGTCTGTTCTTTTTAGATATATTAACCCCTTTCACCAGATCTAACTGCACTATACTTGGGATGTTTTTATACTTATGTTCGCACAAAACAAAGCCAAAGAGCCACTCGAGGTAGATGGTTTCTGTGTGGTATCGTATGAGCGGGAGAAAGGGAAAAAAGGGGAAGTTCTTGAGGCTAATTAGGAACGATAATGGCAAACTCTGAACTTGAAGCTGACAAGATTTAATTCGTGAATAACATTTAAGAGTTCAGTCGATTTTAGAAGTAATAGTGTGGAAATAGACTTCAGAAGGAACCGGAAACCCAATCCTAAACAGGAAACAAGGGATAAACATCTACTCCCGTTCAAAATACCAGGGAGGAACGTGAACTGGGCGATAGATAGCCTAACGTTTATCGGTAGGAAAATTGTTTAATTAAACTTAATATAGAAAGCTATACTGGCAGAAAACCACCTGCACACGGATAGAAAATGAATTTAGTAAATATTCAAACATAGAAAGGGGTGTAAGACAAGGATGTGTCTTCTTACCGGACTTATTCAACCTAGACATTGAGGCAATTCTGAGAGAATTACAAGTCCTGCCAGAATTCATTTTTGCAGCCATAATCTTAACAATATAAGATATACAGATGACATGGTGTTGATTGCAGACACAGAAAGAAAACAAAAGGAAATTCTATAGCAAGCAATGAAGGAAAGCACGAAGAAAGGACTAAATATCAGTTGCAAGAAGACAGAATGTATGGTTATCAGCAAAATTACAACTTTAAATATCAACGAATCGTATTAACTGATCACGAAAAATATGACCCCGACATCCGAAGGGGAATCCGCATATTGAATGACGCCCGCTTCCCGTTAAACATAACATTATGAAATAAGAAAAAAATTGTTAGATACAATAAACATATTGTTTAACTGCTATATGATATCAATTACCTTATATGGCAGATTAAGAGAGGGCTTGAGGCCGCAGACATGTGAAACTACAGAAGGATACTGAGAATGTAATGAACAGAGCATGTTAGCAACGAGAAACTTTGAAGAAAAATTGGATAAAAAAAGATGAAATTTCTAGTATATGTAATGAGGAAAGCAGACTTGGCGATTTTGACACTCATATGAGATATTGAAGACTAGAGGGAAAGGAGGAAAAATACAGGTAATCTAAGTTTGTTTTGATGGATGTTAGACCAGAGATTTGGTGGGGTAATAGAAACATCTACAAAAAGTAAGAAGTTGTGGAGAGCCATGATCACCTAAGATTTTGAGGATCACGGCTCATAGAAGACCAAATGTAGCAACCTTGTCTTGCTGTATAAAATTTCGACTGTATAACGAGTCCGATCTTCACCGGGTGTTACATTCATTCCACCTTGTGGCATGTCTAAATTATGCTTAGAAAACCATTTTTTTTTCGCTATATCAATTACGAATGAATAGTGAATTCGATCATCACTGGGTGCTCCATAATTTCAGCCTTGTGTCATATCTCAGCTGCGCTTAGAAAATCACCATATTGAAAAACAGCTGGCAATGATGAGAGAAAATGCGTCTAGCACTTTTGGACAACCTGTATCAGGTTGAATTAATCACCGAATGACAAATGTCCTTTTCGTGACAGACTAGCTTCAATTGAGGAGCCAGTTTTATTTAAAGATCACAGAAATTGCCTACTGCACCATCGGTGGATGTTTTAAAACAATGCTAACTAATTGCAACGATTTTAAAGGTCTATTTTTACTGCCCTTGATACAGAACGCATTCTAAAATGTACACGTAGCCAGCACTGTGTTGCATTCGACCTTCAAAAACTGATCGGCGGTTGTCGTATTAAAAAGTAATATGGTTCTAGGACAGTTGCGTAATAAAAATGTCTACGTTTTGTTAAAACAGAAACTTTTAATTTGATGAATTTTGAACAAGATTAAACCAAAATTACTTATCTTAAAAATGAGTGAAAAATAACTTTTTGCGAGGGGGGGGGCTCATTTTCTTACGAAACCGTTGAAGTAGCAAGTAGCTTGTATAGTTCTTAACAGACAAACGTTAACTAACGAAATATTACCGTAGGCCGTATATGACAAAATATTCGCGACCTCATACCCTGCATACAAGTCACTGTTTTTTTTTTTATATTGATGGAATATGCTGTATTGCTAAATTATAGGTACTGGATATCTGTGATATCTGTATACGTGAGTATGGACAAGACGCATCAATTTCAGATATAAAACCTGGAAGCTTCTTTGAGCCATTCAAATACAATGAGCACAATTTTTATGTATTTCATGCGAGACATTGTCAACGAAAATTACCAAAATCCTTAAATTAAAATTCAACCCAATACCTGACATTTTCTCTGTGAAAAAAGTTAGCATTTATTTTAAGCACTTACTTTTCAACTAGAAATAATTGAAATTAATACAAACGAGACAGCTTTAAACGATAAAACGTTTGAAGGGAACCATTATAAGCGTTAAGCTGAACTCGTCCGATCAGTAGACCGAGCGTAGACATATGTATCTAGCAGAAGCTAATGATTAAATCAAACACCGATACAAGCAAAAATTAGAACTGCTAGTGGACCTCCCATTGTTCAATAGAAAATGATATTTGCAAGACGTTTTATTGTAGGGTACTTTTTAGGTGTGTGCAGCAAGAGATATGATATGAATTTTAAGGGACGGCTCACGTATCCAATTACAAATACATGCGATATGAAAAATAACACTCTGCGAATCCGGAAATTTCGGCGACCGGTATGTATTGATAAAATAAGAAATGTGTCTAATATATATCGATAAATATAACTCTTTTTTATTTTTCAGATATGCCCACAATGTGCGTGCCTGTCTTGGAGATGGACGGTGGCATGAAGATGCCTGAGACCATGGCCATTGCTAGGTACTTGGCTAGAGAATATGGTAAGTGAACGTCTTCTTATGAAGGAATCATTGCTGTTAGCATGATGACGTAGTGGCCTGTTAGTAGTTGGTTCGAATTTTAATAAATATTAGGATCGAACTTTGGAATTGATAGACAAAAGTAGAATAGATTTGGAAATTTTACAGATTCTATCACAAAGCTGAGAGTTTCAGTCATGTTTTAGATTCTGGAAAACATATTTGAGCTTAAATTCAAAAGTTATTTTGGCTTAAAACTACATTTCACATATATAAGAAAAACGAAAGCCTTTAAATTTGTTCTCTGTTATACCTCTGTGAACAGGCAAATCTCTTTTTTTAGCTCCCTCCTAACCGGCAATATGCTTTGATAATTCAGATTCTTAATAGGCGTTTTCACTATTTATTTAATATAATGCTTATGTAATTATCTATCTATATATACTGGATGTAACAGCAAAATTATCCAAACCGTGTAATAGCAAAATTGTCCAATTATTAGATTAAAATCTCAACCGATGTATCTTAGAAATGATTAAAGATATCTTACTGGATGTCTCCGGGGTTTTTATATCACTATTGGACACTATTTTGAATAATAAGAATGTATAATTATTCTCCAAGCTTAACAGAAGAATCGTGATGAATCGAGCATAAACGAAAATGGCATGGTCATCATTAATTAATTATAGTTAAGGATCGTAAGTTTATGAAGAATTGAAATAAGATTCAATATATATATATATATATATATATATATATATATATATATATATATATATAGTAAAGGTAATGAAGGGTTTGGCAACCCGTGTGGATAATTTCAAAATGGATGTAATGCAGAGAGCTCAATGTAACAACAGAGCAAATATCAATTATATAATTGAGAAAGAGACAACATTAAGATTCCATGACTAAAATATAAATTATTTATAAATTATAGTCATTGAACTTTAATGTTGTCTCTTTTTTTAATTATTTAATATATATATATATATATATATATATATATATATGACTGATAAATGATTATAGTAGAATAGTTATGAAAAGGTAACTTTTAATCCGTGTGTGTGGTGTGCATCAACAAGGGTAAGTAGGCAACATGGATCGGTTGCATTTGCCTTGATATGGCAAATATGTTAATATTTCTAGTTGAAACAATTCACATCATGATGCTGTACGACAGTTATAAATATAATAAAACTGCTTTTACTTTTTGATTTCGCATTCAAATGTAATAATCAAAAGACGATTAAACAACAATTTGGAAAAGTTCCGCCGAGTAACATGGACAAGTAGCAAGTAACCTTAACAAATCTTTCGTTCTTGATTTGTAGAGCTATGGGTGCTTTTATACCAATTATTATTTTTCATAGTAATGTTAAATTACAACATTTAGGATAATATAAAATCTATATTTCTAATTCAAATTCATCATCCTCCTCCTCTTCATCATCATCATCATCTCCTTGACTTTTGTAATCGTAGCTGGGATCCAAATGCAGAAGCCATATTGAATCTCTTCCTCGGTCTATCAACTGCAGCCATCCACAATTCTTGTATAAGTCATACTTGTCCATTGTTTGACATTGACCAACCAGATTTTGAATTTGCATCCTCTCCTAAATCCACGTTCAACAGACAAGTAACAAATATCGCAAAAAAATATTTCGTTCTTGATGTGTAGATCTATGGATGCCTTCATACCAATCATTAATTTTCATATTAATGTTAAATAACAACATTTAATATAATATAAAATCTATATTTCTAATTAAAATGCATCATCGTTGTGGTGTTAGATAAAAATAACATTTAATATGAAATGGAAAATTTATTTTTCAATTATACGTTGATTTTGGCGGTTTAAGCAACGAAACATTAAATGTCATAAAATCTGTATTATTCACTACAGAATAAAAACACACCACACGCTCATACATACTTAAAATCCTTCAAATCGACTATAATAATCCCCTATCTGATGCAAAGATCTCATCATAAACATCGTCATTTACAGTTTCGTCATATGGGTCCCCATTGGTCATCTACTGATATCGGATAAAATCACGAAAATTTACATAGATTTGAGGCCCCGTTTTACCTACAGGCTTTATATATGAAAATATACGGTATTCAGTTATTTAATAATTAGAAAACGTCTATCGTTTACAAAAGACGTAAAATTTTGACTCTTACTTAGTTTAGAGTATTTTAATTTTATTGTAATGAGTAACACTATAATCAAATACAGATATGTGACTTTGTTATAGTTAATATCTTTAAACATTACTTATACAGGTTTCTACGGAAAAAACAACATGGACATGATGAGGTGTGACTACATCGCTGATTGCTTCTATGAAATCATGCACGATTACATGAGGTACTACCACTGGAAGAACGGACGCTTCAGGGTGAGTCAGTTACATCAACATTTTATATCTATACCTTTCAATACAATATCTATAGAAATGATAAGCAAAGAGGCTATATTAAAATGATCATTAAGGCTAAAAGACATTAGCTAAGACGAGTGTCGAGTGCTTTGTAAATAATGACTACTTCTATGAAATCATGCACGATTACATGAGGTACTACCACTGAAGAACGGACGCTTCAGGGTGTGTCAGTTATTTCGAATCTACTCAATATTTCATATTTACATCTTTCAATACACTATCTATAGAAATTTGTCCATAGCTATCAGTTTTTCTTTCTTTCTTACTAACGTTTTTGAAACCAAGCAGCGTCTTTGATATGTCTTTTTCGCTTTTCCTAGCGTATTAAAACTAAATAGTTAATTACTTATGAGTTATTGGCAGTGACGTACGGGCTAACTTCTTTATATATACATTTGTACAAATCTATCAGCTTCCTCCCTTCCTTTCTTTCTTCCTTCCTTTCTTTCCTTCCTGACTTCCTTCTTTCCTTCCTTTCTTTCTTTCCTTCCTTTCTTTCCTTCCTTTCTTTCCTTCCTTCCTTCTTTCGTTCCTTTCTTCCTTCCTTTCTTTCTTTCTTTCCTTCCTTCCTTTTTTCTTTCCTTCCTTCCTTTCTTTCTTTCTTCCTTCCTTCCTTCCTTCCTTCCTTCTTTCTTTCCTTCGTTCGTTCGTTCGTTCCTTTCTTTCTTTCTACCTTCCTTCATTCCTTCTTTCCTTCGTTCGTTCGTTCCTTCCTTCCTTCCTTTCTTTTTCTTTTTCTTCCTTTCTTTCTTTCCTTCCTTCCTTCCTTTCTTCCTTCCTTTCTTTTCTTCCTTCCTTCTTTCTTTCGTTCGTTCGTTCGTTCGTTCGTTCCTTCCTTCTTTCCTTCCTTCCTTCTTTCTTTCCTTCCTTCCTTTTTTCCTTCCTTCCTTTCTTTCCTTCCTTCCTTTCTTTCCTTCCTTCCTTCCTTCCTTCTTTCCTTCTTTCCTTCCTTCCTTTCTTTCCTTACTTTCTTCCTTCCTAATTTTAACCGTAGCTATCAGTTTTCTTTCTAATTTTGTCCACAGCTATCAGTTCTTTCTTTCTTTCTTTCTTTCTTTCTACCTTTATTTCTGCCCTTCTTTCTTTCTGCCTTTCTTTCTTTCTTTCTAACGTTTTTGAAACCAAGTAGCGTTTCTGATATGTTTTGTCCGTCTTTACTAGCGGCCAAAAGAAAATAGTTAATTTCTTATGAGGTATTGGCAGTGTGTAACGTACGAGCTAACTTCTTTCTATCTAATTTTGTACAAATCTATCAGCATCCTTCCTTCCTAATTTTTTTTCGTAGGTATCATTTTTTTTTCTTTTTCTCACTGGCACCAAACAACGTTTCTGATATGTCTTTTCCGTCACTCTTCACGATCAAAACAAAATAGTTCATAGAGCTTAACGCACGAACTAAGGAAATAACAAGAGAAATGATTTTATGCTAATGAATTGTGTATCAACCCAGACTGTTATGCAAAGAATAGAATTAAGAATATCAAATAAAACTCGTAATATTATTCAACCTTAATACACTTAAAACCAATTTAGAAAAAAATAAATTAAAGTCACTTTCATAATTTATTTCAGTTTGGTAACAACGGAATGATGGGCTCCGACATGGGAAGTGGAGATATGTCCAACTTTGACGTAAGTAGCAATTTGTCTTTCAGAATATATGAACATGTAACTTTCTCAGTGAATCGAAGACATGCAATAACATTAAGAAAAAATATTAAAATCTATAATCCATAAATGAAATTAAAGAAAAAAATGCTTTTAAAATATATTTGACTATAATGTCGTTTCATGGGGCAAATACAAATCAATAATCTTACAATATTACAGGAAAATGACATTCAAATCAAAAAGCTACTCCTACTACAAAGGGAAGGCTGCAAAGACTTAATACATATTTCATGTAATATTTTCGTGTGAAAGTCCGAATTTACCTAACACAGAACATATCTTTATAATAGGATAGTGAAAATTTATGTCTGAATAATAAATATTCATTGAAAATAAATCTTTATTCGAGATATGGAAGTGAAGTGAGAGAAATTGTAGTTAACTTCTCAAAAGAAAAGCAATGATAATTATCAATTCGAATTTCATTTTTCAAGAACAGAGTTCGTCTGAAAATATACCCATAGTTAACATACATCTGAATAAAGTCAGAGAATACACTGCCTTAGATTTTGAGGATGCAAAAGGCATTGTATTTAGTGAGTATCTTCAGAAGGGCCACGCCATCAATAGAGAGTGCTATGCCAACTTGCTGAGGCAGTTACGAAAAGCACCCCCACCCCTGAAGCTGAAGAAAAAAAAAATCCTCCAACACACAAATTCATGGTTTGAATGGCAGCTGTGCGTAACTGTGTTTTGGAAGTCGTTTATTAATCTCTCTATTTTCCTTATTTGACTATCATCTGTTCCCCAACATGAAAAAAAAATCGCTGTGATGATGACGTCATATCTGCTATTGATGGATTTTTACTAAAAGGATGAACAGTCTTCATTGGACAGTCAGATGCCAGTTTACTTGAAAGAAACAATACAGTTATTACTAAGAAGAGTTAAAATTAGTGCTTACAAGATTTCACAGCTGGAGTATAACTCCTTCATAGTAAGCCTGTGAACTTTTCAGCCCACCCTCGTACCTGGAAAGAAGCAATGGAGTTATTAATAAGAAGATTTGAAAGTAATGCCTACAAGATTTCACAGCTTAAGTATCACTCTTTCCTAGTCAGCCTAAGAAGAATCTGCAATGCTATTGGTCTAGACCTGGCATCTCGGCTTTAGTTCCTTTACCTCCGCCGTAACGCAGCTTCCTTGCTCCTTTTCTATAAATATTTGATGGTAATTTTTCTGATGCACTTTCCCTTATGTTACGTAGACATTATGAATTTAAGCGCAGTACTAGATTGGCGGTAAGGTCCCGTCATTTTACAACTGTAATGGCTAGATGTAACCGTAAGTTCTATGTTGACAGTTTCTTCCCTCGCACTTCTCGCTTGGGGATATCTCTTTCCGCTTCGAGATTCCCAGTCAGCTTCAAAAGTTTAATTGAAATGTCAATCGTTACCTTCTATCTTCTTAATTCTTGTTCTTTTACGGTTTAAACTGTTTAATATTATTTTTCTCATATTTTCTAACACTTAGTAACTCCTTGCGTCTTAGTGGCTTTATTGCCTTGCTTAGAGTAAAAAAAGATTAAAACATACTTATTACAACAGAATTTTTTTTTTCATTTTTCTTTCAGAATTATCTGCAATGGCGTTACATGAATACCTTGAATAGAATTATGCCTTTCTTGGAGAGAACTCTGGAGATGCGCAATGGTGGAAATAATTTCTTCATGGGAGACCAGGTGGGTGTTTCCTTTTCCACATCTAAATATTCCTTGAATGTTGAGACCTTACATTCGAGTTGTTGTCAGACAGACGGCACATTCCAAGTACTTTCGACAATTTTAAATTGTCATCTTCAGGTTGCAATTTGCCTATAGATAGAAGAAGAATAAGACGAAATATGTGGAAACCGAAAGATGACTTTTTTTTATTATTCAAGGAATTGATAGGAAGTTAATGTCTCATTACGTTCTGTTAGCGAAGTGATTTTGCCATTAATTACATTACCATTGCTATTTAATTCTTTGTATAAATTGTTACATTATGACATATATGTATATATATATATATATATGTGTGTGTGTGTGTGTGTGTGTGTGTGTGTGTGTGTTTTCATTAAATAATATAGACAAGTGTGTCTATTTATTTAATGTAAATTCTTTTCATAACGTCTGATAAGCTTAATAACATTATCAATAAACGAAGAAAAAAAATCATAATATCGATACATATATTTTGGAATCCAGTCTAAGCTTTCGGCTTACATAAGCCATTATCAAAGATGACAATTACAGTACAATATATTAAGCAATACACGGACAAGAAAGTGATGATAGTCTGTTTTTGTTTACATGGATGATTTCCAAACAACGATAAACACGTGCATATAAGACGCTAGAAGCGAAAATCGCACCGCAGCTCATGACGTCACACATGACAACACGAGAGTGAATTCGAGAAGTATTAAGTATGGGAAGCTGTTGGTATAAACCAATGGCTTCTGTTACCAATTATAGACATTTAAGAATATTTGTAGAGATTTCATAGTTTGTTTTTTTTTTCAGGTTAGATTTCAACTGTTTCATGCATATAGCTTCAAGAATTTTTAGTTTTTGTTTATTGTTTTAAAATTTAAGTATAGTTGTGTTTTCAACAAGGATTTTACGGAAGTGTGTATGCGGGCAGGCATGTTGTTTTAAATGCCTAAAAATGTTAAAGTTATCATTCAAATGTAGTATCAAGCGTCGTGAAAGCGAGTTTGTGGTTTGACCAACATAAATATTATTTCATTTGTTGGAGATACACTCTCCCAAAGGGCACTTGAATTTATAAACTATGTTGGGTTTTTTGCAAATCGCTAACCGGGGGAGAAGAATCATTGCGAGTAATTGAGTTGGATATACTAGATTTAGTGTAGTATATGATTAACTTATTTTTTTTGCTTGGATCTGTTGTAGATATATTAGTATTTACTAATTTTTTAGTATATTTTCATCTTGTTTATAATTAGTATGCATTTGATTACGATATAGGAGATTAATATGTCTGAGATTAGTAGAAGCAATATTCTGTACAATTTGCTTATTATTGAGATTTCTAAGAAAGCATCTTATTTGTTCATCAACTATATAGTTTGGAAAGCTATTATTAATAAGTGTCTGTTTTATATTCTTTAGTTCACTGTAAAAAATCTGTTTGGTGGATGAATTAGTTTCTGCACGATGTATTAGATTCTTTATAATTGCTATTTTGTAGTAATATGTGCATTCACTCTTGTAGTTAAGTGTACATGAATTTATGCTGGTAGGTTTTTTGTATGGCGAAATAGTAAATTTGTTATTTCTGATCAGAAATAAAATGACCTGAACATTGCTATAGTAATCAATAAAACTATGATATAAAATATTAAAATTAATTATTACCATATATGGTTGTGAGTTTAAAGAAGTTGATTCTAAATTTACTTGTTGTTTTCCAGATGACCTGGTGTGATATGATGTGTTATTGCTGCCTGGAGAACCCCTACATGGAAAATCAGTCTATGTTTAGTAACTACCCCAAATTGATGGCATTGAGGACCCGTGTTGCTGCCCACCCAAAGATTGCGAGTTATTTGAAGAGCCGTTGCAACACAAACTGGTAAAAGTGATGGCCCAGTGACAACGATGTAATCGAAAAATATTAGTTCATATCTTGGAAAGGATAAAAGGAATTGATTGGCTGAAAATATTGAATGATCTCAAATGTTTATGTTTCAAAATACCTCTTATTCTTTGATATAATAAACATTCTTAATAAAATACTTTTTGTTGTTTTGTTGGAAGTCATTTTTTTTCTGTGGATTGGCGCCAAAATGTATCCAGACAATATTATAACGTTTTTATTATCTGTTGCTTTCAAAAGATGAAATAAGTTACGCTTTTTTTACTCACTGCTCATAAATACCAACTGTAGCATTTGCCTTCGAACAGACAAATTAAATTTTATTTCTCAAATGTATTTCTGTCTTCGGAGAGAACACGACAAATAAATTGGGGGGTGGGCTGGTGCTGGGGATTTTAGCCTGGCGCAGAACCACCCTCACTGCACCAAAGCTGGAGCAGTAGGTGTAATAACGACAGCCATTGTGCTGGGGCCAATTTTTGGAATTGGCACGCGCTTAGGATCTCCACTTTCAAACGGCCATGTACCATATCACATCCTTGTCTACTATCTTCCTTCGGAAGACAAACTACATTTTATCACTGAATTGTATTTCTGTCTTCTGTCTTCGGGGATGGAAACCCTGTGGCAGTACCTCCGTCAATGCACCAAACAGAGGGTTGATAGACTATAAACGCCAGCGTGACGTTGGTTGTGCTGACGGGAACTTTTTGGAATTGACCCATGTGCACGCCCTTGGCATCCTCACTTTTAAAGACCATGCGCCATATCCCCTCACCGATCGGAGATGAGTAAATGCTGTGAGTAGGATCTGCCTTCAGTCAGACAAATTAA